TGACCACGGAGACGTCTTCGGACAACGCTGGCTCTTCGGCTTTGGAAAGGAGATGAGCACCGCCCCCTAAAGTCGGGAACGACTGGCACTTGTATGTGTGAGGGGAACTTTTACCTTTAGTGAAAAGGAGGACCAGGTGTGATGTGATAGAATAACAGAATGACAGAGTTGGAAGGGACCTCGGAGGTCTTCTAGTCCAACCCCCTGCTCAGGTAGGAAGCCCCATATCATTTCGAACAGGTGATTGTCCAATCTCTTCTTAAAGACATCCAGGGTTGGAGCAATCACAACTTCTGGAGGCAAAGCCTTCCACCGGTTAATTGTTTTCCATGTCAGGAAATTTCTCCTTAGTTCTAGTTTGGTCTTCCAGTATTTGAGGGGCTGCTACAAAGAAGGGGGCCAGCCTGTTCTCCAAAGCACCAGAAGGCAGTGGAGGGAAACCAGTGAAGGAGAGGAGCTTTCCTGGCAGAACAATTAACCCGTGGAAAGGCTCGCTCTCTGATGTGGGTGCTCCAGCATTGGAGATTTTCAAGAAGATACTGGACATCCATTTGTCTGGGCTGGGATGAGTCTCCTGCCTTGAGTAGGGGGTTGGACTAGAAGACCTCCAGGGTCTCCACTAGCCCTAGGATTCTGTGTTCTATGATCTGGAAGCTGTATTGCTTGCCCTCAACTTCGGGCCATCCCTTTAGCGACCACGTGTGCGTTTGTGTGTGTGTGAAGGATGAGTCCTTTGAATCGAAATAAACAACGGAAAAATCCTGTTTTTGTTTGTGTAGCTCTCCATAATTCTGGAGATCCAGGTTGTGTTTTTGAGATAACCATCCTTGATTCACATCCCGTGTTTATTTTGGATCAGTCTCTGCTCTTGAGAGCTGCTGATGCTGATGCACAATACCCCAAATCTCTGCGGGAGAATTCTGACAGCAATCCAGGCAATTGCATATGTAACACAAACGCACACATTCTCACACACACACACGAGCCATTTGCCACCCTCCCCTCCCTAGATTTGTGACACACACACACACACCTCCCCAGGTTGAGAATCCTTGGAGTAAAACATGGCGAAACTGACTAGATCCGGTTGCCAGAGCGGCAATATCCAAAAAGGATGAACGCCCCGACAATTTCTTTTCTCCAAAGTTCTGTTGGCCTGGAAGGATTCTGGTAGCCAACGTCTCCGTCTCCAACCTGGCAAATAGATCAGATGCCCAAAGATTTAAGAGGCGTCTCTTCCAACCATCTGATCAGAGCATCCCCTGAAACCGTGATGGCGAAGTGGAGCCCTCTGTGTGGTCACAGCCATCGCCAGCTGCCCTCCTGGTTTTCAGTGCTGGCCAGCTGGTTTCCGTTGGGCGCTGGAGTGCTGGGAAACGGCCTGAAAAAGCTCCGGAAAACAGCCTGGGTTTTTTTTTGGCAGTTTTGGGCCGTTTTGTGGCGCTCGCCCCCCCCCCCCCCCCCCCCCCACGAAGCCCCACTGAAAAACGG